TGAAAGGGGGGGGCAGGAGGGTGAACCAGGCTCCAAACCCTCACCCATCCCCTACTCTGTGTCGGGGTGAAAGACCGCCTAAACCAGGACAGGCAGAGCCCCTCTCCCCCTGCCCACAGTAATCTCTGTCAAGGAGCCCTTTAAATGGTTTCAAATGTTAATTCCTCATCGTGGCAGTAAAAGCTATTTTTAATCCCACGTGAAGGCAGTTTGCAGAAACCCAAACTTTGCACGTATTATGGATTGCTTCTCAAGTCCAGGCAGAGCTGGATGTGTGCTAGGAATCAGAAAACAGGGGCACATCATCAGGGAGACCCATCTGGCTGGCTCGGATGTACCCAGCACTTAAGCCCTGTCCTAAGTGTAGAGCTGGGACTAAAACACTGCACAAAAGCCAATTCAAAACACCACACCTTAAATAAAAGCTTTAAAGTATCTGGTTCTTAGTTAAAATTAGCTTTTTCTCAGGTTTCCTGCATGTTCTCTTTGTATTTTCGGTTTTATTTTCCAAACACCGGGGTGAGAATAAAGGAAGCTGAGACAGAAAGGTCTCGTTTGTGAATGGAAGTTAAAAAAAGAGAAGAGATTGCAAAGTAATGAAGCCAAGAAGCTGCAGGGCTGAGTGTCTGCAAAGGCACCGGGAAAACAAGGGCCACTCTCAGCGCTGAAACCGTGAAACCGAGTCCATCAGGAGAGCAGATTAGCCGGTGTCAATGAATAAAGATAATGTCCCGGAGCAGGTCTCAGTGCATCGCCATCTGACTCCTGCAGGATTCCTTTGTCCCTTCCCACCTATGTATTTCTTAAACGCGCCTGTGAAAAGCTCTCCCTGCAAGGCGATCCCAGCCCGGTGCCAAAACGCAGCCTGGTGACTCCAGAGGGGCTGATTTCATTCAGCAGCTCGCACTATAGAGTGTCTTGATCTGTCTGTACAATCACAACACGCACAAAAACCCCCTCAAGGCATCTACTCAGCTCCACTTTTCAGCTGCCAATAACACTCCCAGCAAAAGTCAAAAGAGCAGCGCCGGAGCCGCGTCCTTTCCCCGCCGCTCAAAGGCTGCGGGGTTGCGAGGTTCCGAGATAACAAAGTCCGGCTCAAGAAATCCTGGATGCCTTTCAAGAGTGTTATTAGCTCCTATGAATGGGCCTGAAGAAAGACAGGGGGGGGGGGGGGAAAACCCCACATCCCGTGGAGCAGCTCTCTGCTCCCCATCCGTCTCCCCCCAGGCACGGGGACATGTGCCGGGGCTGGGACGTCCCAGCGCTGTTCCGAGCACAGGAGCGCAGATGGACGAGGAACCCCACGAAAGGCTCCTCACCCCTCTTGCAAAGCTGCATGTTCTGCATTGGATCAGAAGGGAAAATGTCAATAGAAAGCTAAATTTGGTCTCTGGGAGGCTTGGAGCTCTGGGTTGGCTGTGCAGGGCCAGAGGATGCGCAGCGAGGATTCCAGCTCCTTGTGTCCCACCACACCCGGCTGAGGAGCTCCAGCCTGGCCACTCACTGGCCATCCCATAGTACTTTATACCCAAACTGTAAGAAAGCATGGAATTCTTTACAATTCCTCTGAAATCCACTGTGTGCCATCATCAGGGCACAGCTCAGAGAGTGCAATCCCAACGGACACACAGGGAGCCAGGCCCAGCCCCATTCCTGTCGAACCCTTTCTTTGGCTATTGGAAAAAAGCAGGAAGACAAGATGGAAAAGAGGGACTGGGGTAATAGATCATGTGAGGAAACACAAGACAGAGGAAAAGCGTCACATCGAGCTGATGTTGCCGCAAATTTTGGCAGATGGAGATTGGGAAACTTCTTTGGATAAGCTGAGCGCTCTCCACACGAATTCCTTTCAACTTGAATTCCCACAAACTCCCTTTTACGCAAACCAGCCTCTGTGAATCCCCTGTCCCAGCACTGCCATGTGCCCCAAAGCTGCTGTTCCCCCTCTTTCTCCTGCCCCTTCTCCCACAGCCCCAGAATTCCCCCAGGTTGTGCCAAATCCCGGGGCGAGGCCGACGGAGCGGCCGGAACCTCTGCGTGGGGAACAAACCAGCTCTGGCAACCAGAAAGGGAACAATCCATGCAAAGATTCTGCTACACCCCCCGAAATGTCACCAGGGCAGCAGAGCAGCGTGTGCTGGAGGGCCCTTGGGAGCCCCAGCCCCTGCACAGGGATCGTACGAGGTGTGAACACCCCAAGCGCCCCAAACGCCACCCGTGAGCCCAAATCTGCTCAGGGTGGGGAGCAAGTGCTGTCCCACACACACTGAGGGGGTTCCACCCCTTAAATCCCTTCAACCTGCAGCCACTCGGCCCACAAGCACCATTTTCCCTCAATTCCCACAGGCCAGGGCAGGATCTGGCCCTGCTCCCTCATGCCCAGCAGCTCCTCAAAGCTTTGCAGTGAATTTCTAAATATCGCTGCAAACATCTGGGAGTCCATTCCATTCTTGCCATTTCCCTGCACCCACATTCCCACAAAGCAGAGACAGACAGACAGTGCCAGGCTCCCAGACAGGACAAAAACCCCAAACTGGGACAGACACATCAGCATCGCCTCTTCTTTTCATTCAGGTTTCCTTCAAGCAGCACTGAGTGCCAAAAAAATTAAAGCAGGGTTTTTCCTGAGGATAAAACATCCCATAATGCTTGGATTAGCCATTAGGTAATTTATGCTGCAGCCTAGAAAAGGTGTTTAATCTGCTTAGAATTAGCTCAACCTGTAGTAACTCCAGGGATTCTCCAAAAAAAAAGGGACTTTGGGCTATTTCAAATTTAAATTAAATAAAGCAATCAGTAAGAGTAAATTATTTCAGTCAGTAGCTTATAGTGTAAACTAATCACCCACAAGTAGATACTCCTGATGCAGCAGTGAAATCACTACAGGACTGAGCTACCAAGAAAGAACAAAATAATTCTGGAGCAATATTTCCAAGGGATTTTTTTTTTTCCCCACTTTTACTCAAGACAAGCAGCGACCTACAGGTGCCTTCGGGCCAAATATCTTGGCGCGAGAAGCAGTTGGTGTAATTTTGGTTTCCTAGCAAGTTCAAATATCTTAAAAATGTTTGCACCACTTTGGAGATACTCATTGGAAAAACCTGACTTTCTGTCCAACTTCTCTTTTGCTCCACTCCAGCACATCCCAGCTTTAAACATTTAGCTCTGTCTGGCTTTCCCAGGGAAAGAAATCCCTCAGTATAGGCAAGGTCTTGGGAGAAGACAAAACAAGAGGCAAAGAGGAGAGGAAACGAAGGGAAATAGTTGTGAGTGTGATTGAAAACACACTTACTCTACGCAGAGTTGAAGCAAAACATCTACTGATTTTCCCCTCCCTCCAAAGGATGCAGCTTCTCTCCGGCCCAGCGGCCGCTTCCCCCCGCTCCAAAAACCTTCCCTGCTCCGTTTCTCCAAATTTACCACAACCATATGCAGAACCATCCCAAGGCATCTCACTGGTACCAGGCCAGGCTCCCTGCAAGCGCTCACAGCACTGGAAACTCATGGCAGAGCCATCCAAGCTGAGATTTATTTCTCCTTCTCTCTGCGGTCCATCCTACGGACGCCTCGCCGGGCTACGGCGAGAGATATGAAAGCGTTCGATCCTCCCCGCTTTAATTATGTGCTCGCAGTCATTAAACTCCCATTCTGCCCAGCGAGATCTATCTTGTAATCCTCACCCCGAAAGATTAGTTATCATCATTATCGTTCCTAGAGCAGCACAGACACAAACGGTGCTGAGGGACGAGCTAATAAATCACGGGGATATTAACGCAGCCGTAAAAATAAGCGCCGCTACTCACTGGGTTTGAAGGTGTGTTAAGTCCCAACTTTACAGCCCAGATGTGGGCTCACAGAGCTGAAACTCTGCGGGTAAAATTACCACTAAAATTATCCTTTCCATTAAACGCGCTGGTTCTTCACAGGTTATTATTTTGGCGAGGATGGGGGAGCCGCAGCCGCCCCCGAAACGCAGGGAAACATCGAGAGCACGTATGAAACACGGTATTCCCGGGGGGCTTGCGGAGCAGGGGATGGAGAGGCAGGAAGGACAGGGAGAGCTACTCCTCTGATTATTTTCAGATGTTTCCCCGAGAACACCGCAGCGCTTTTTATGCATCGACACATTTGGACTCTCTTCAAAATAACGGACCAGATTCCACCATCGGCTTCAAGGGACTTATCGCTCCGACTCCGCTTGGCCCGGCCGCTCCGGAGTTGGCCGGGAGACGGCACTTTAATAGACACCACATGCACAGTAGCTGCTCTTCCGAAGGCTTTATCGCCTGAAGAGTTCAATTCCACCGAAACCCTCCAAAAACAAACTCCCTTGGATCACTCCGGCTCTGCCCTTTGCCACAAACCCACCGACACCGATTTACGCCTCTCCCGTTCTGAGCACAGCCAGGATCGAGCCCGAGATCTTCGCTCCCTTTATTTTTATAAACCACGCGAATTCAATAATTCCTAAAGAAACCCGGTGGGGGGAAACGGTGGGACGGCTGAGGATGACGTGATAAAGGTTAAAATCGCAAGGGCTGGAGAGTTAAGAGAGCAAATTTTTGCTGCCCGGTGGGTTGTGGGATGGGAGGCTGCGGGAACAGGGAGGAAAAGGGGGATGTGGGGACAGCGGGGACACGGGGTTAGGAGGGACACGGAGGGATACGGGGACAGAAGGGACACGGGATCGGTTCTCACACTCGCACCGCTCCCGACTTCAGCCGCAGCCCCGCAAAACCAGCCCCCAGCCCCTTCCTCAAGCCAGGCGAGGATCGGAGCTGCCGTCCCCCTTCTCGTCCCGCCCGGGACCCACCTCCCCCTCCCCGCTTCCCCTCTCTCAGCCCCTTCGGACCCCCTTTCTCTCCCGGGACCCTCCGCGCTCGGACCAGCCTGTTGCAGAGCCGCCCCATCCCAGCAGCACGGGCGGCAATTAACACCGCTCGGCGCTTAATCACCCACTGCCGCGAGCCCCCCCCGCGCCGCGCTGCGCCCCTTACCTGTACCAGCGCAGCCCCTTCTCGTAGCACCTGTCGAAGAAATGGGGCTCCGCGCCCACCGCCCGCACCCCGGGGTGCGCCCGCAGGAACTCGAGCAGCGCCCGCGTCCCGCCCTTCTTCACGCCCACGATGATGGCCTGGGGGAACCGGCGGCTGCCGCTCCCCGAATCCCCCGCGCCCCCCGCGCCCCCGCCGCCCCGGCCCCGCGGGCAGCGCGCCGGGCACGGGCAGCAGCAGCGCGGGCGGCAGCGGCTCGCAGGGCCCGGGCAGGCAGGAGAAGAAGTAGGTGAAGAAGAGGATCATGGTGAGGAGCAGCGAGGCGCGGCGGCTCCCGGCGGGTCCCAGCAGCCGCCCGCTACATCCCATCGGGGGCCGCGCATCCCGCACCGCCGCCGCGCCCCCGCGCCCCCTCCGCGCTCCCCCGCGCACCGGCCCGGCCCGGGCCCCCGGACCAACCTCTCTCCCTCACCCTTCCCTCCCGCGCCGCCCCCACGCCCACCTCGCGGGGCGGGGAGGGCGAAGACACGCGCGTGGGGGCGGCGACGCCCGAGGAGGGAAGGAGGGAAGGAAGGAGGGAGGAAAGGAGAGAGGAGGACTGGGGGGGTGGCACACGCACGGGGCACCTCCAGGGTCCCAGCGGGGACAGGGGCACCCCACGCGTGGGGGTCACCCCGACGGGGCAGCCCCCGCCGAAGGGAAGCACTCCCGACCCCACTGTGCTGGGGGACACGTTTTCCCACGTTTCCCCGTGTTTTCCCAGGTTTTTCCACGTTTTTGCTTGTTTTTCCATGTTTCCCCATGTTTCCACGTTTTCACGTGTGTTCCTGTATTTTCTTACATTTTCCAATGTTTTTCCATGTTTTTCCATGTCTCCCCACATTTTCCCACGTCTCCCCACATTTTCCCACCATTTCCCACATTTCCCCATACTTCCACATTTGCCTGTGTTTTCACACATTTTCCCATGATTTCCCACATTTCCCCACATTTTTCCCAGTAAATTTTCCTCATTTATATTTCCCCCCTCCCTGTATGATTCCCGGGGCTCCAGTGGGTGTTTGTGGCCATTGCCATCATGGAAAGGGCCACACCAGGGAGGCTGCAGCTCCAGCTCCTACACACTGGTGGGGGATCCCAGGCAGGCACTAGGCTGGAAATAAATGGGCACAAACCCCAGCACCCTGGAAATGCAGCTCCCAGGCTCCCACTGCGGGCATGGAAACAGCCCCTGTGTGCCCGTGGTTCTTGTTTGGGATGGGAAGCCCTGTCCTGGGTTTCCACCCCTTCCCTGACACATTCCCTAATCTGCCCAAGAGCAGCAGCTGAGGTGGTGTGGGTGAAAATCCGCAGGTAATGGATGATGGATTGGGATGGTTTCCTGGGATGGTTCCCAGTCCTGTGCAAAGCCTTCCTCCTCTCTATCTGAAATCAGCACTGTCTTAATTAACTTATTGAGCTTGTGCAGTGACAGGGCTGCAGGGTGACACAGTGACAGGGCTGCAGGGTGGCACAGTGGCAGGGCTGTGGGTGTGGCTGCAGGGTGACAGGGTTGCAGGGCTGCAGGGTGAAAGGATGGAAAGGATAGGGCTGCAGGGTGCCACGGTGACACGGCTGCAGGGTGACCCACTTGCAGGGCTGCAGGGACAGCTGCAGGGTGACAGCTGCAGGGTGACAGGGTGACAGGGTGAGATGGTTGCAGGGTGACACGGTGACAGGGCTGCTTGGCCGCAGGGTGACACGGTTGCAGAGCTGCAGGGTGACACGGTGACAGGGTGACACGGTGACAGGGCTGCCTGGCCGCAGGGCTTTGTGCCCTCTCGTGGCTGCGCGGGGACCGCCGGCCCGGCCCGCGGGAGGAAGGAACGGGAGATTCCTTCCAGCTCCCGAGGCGAAGGTTCCCCGGGGAAAACCGAGCAGGAAAGATTACATCCAGGAAGTGAATCTGTTCTCGGGAGCGGTTTGATAAACACAAACGCGGCCAGAATCCGTGGCCTGGCACTTGCCAGCTCTTGTCGGGTTTACGTAAGGATTGGAAGCAGGGACTGTTCCACGCCGGGCGGGAGCGTCGGGAACGGCTCCAGCTCCCTGTTTGGGTTGGGGAGGGGGGGAATGTTGTTGTTGGAAAACGCCAGTTTGTCAAAATGGAAACGTTTGGCAAGAATCTATCCGCTCTGACAAACTTGTGTCCAAACCCTCTGGAAAGGCGGGAGCGGGGAGCGGAGCATTCCCACCCTCCTCATCCTCAGCGCGGGGCACAGCGCTGGTGCCACGGGGCCTCTTGGCACTGCCAGCTTCCCCCTGGGGCGGTCGGAGGAGCAGCATCTCTTCCTTTCTCACCTCCAGAACTGAGGGGAAAGGCTCAAAACAGGAGCTGGGGGCTCGCTCCGGGTGCCACAGCGAGGGCAGGGAGCACGGAGCGCTCCGGGGGCCTGTGCTGTGCCCAGCCCTGCACCTGGATCAGCTGGGGGGGCCCTGCAGGAGGGTCCTTGGATTCAGCTCAGACCCCACTGGACAGGGACCAGCTCCCTGCCTTGCCTGCAGCTCAGGCAATTGAGGACAACCAGCTCAGGTGCAATTTTTTGAGAGCCGATGCCAGAAGCAATTGTGCACATAAATGTGGGTTGAATTGTTTTTTTGGGGGAGGGTTCCCTTCAGCCAGGTGTATTCCCTGTTCTCAGAGCAAGCTCAGCCCTAAGGGGAAAAGGCACTGGGACAGGGCAAGCTCTGAGGACAGCCATCCCCAAATCCCCCTGTGTCCCATCCTGGGCTGTTCCCATGGTGGGTTGAAATCCTGGTCCCAAAGCAGGAGAGGGTCATCTGGGACAGCCCAGTGTCAAATCCTGAGGGCCAAACACAGCAGTATCAGCACAGCACCACGTGAGCTCCATGCCCCCCTTGCCCAACCCTCTCCCCCACCCCAAATCCAGAAGGATGGGACCCCTGCATCCCCACCAGGCCCCTCAGCACCACCACCCTCCTCCCGAGCCCCCCCTCTGCCTCAGCGTGGGTGCTCTGGGATTTCCCAAAGTTTGTTATTACAAAGACAGAAAGAGAAGGGCTCAGGGGGATCAGCAGGGATGAAAAACGCTTTAGGAACACGGGAGATCATTTAGCAGGTCACCTCCACGGCGGGGTTTGCCAAGCTGATAAAGGCGAGCAAACTTATTAAGGCGCTCACAGCTTGATTCGAAACGGCTGCTCCAAACAGCCAATTACTCCGGGCCCTTCCAAGCCAATTAGGAAGGCTGTTGCCCTGATTATGCCTGGTGTGTTGTACAAATACAGCACAACTCCTCGGGTTCAAAGAGCAGCCCATAAAAGGGAGCCCGGAGAGAGGCAAAGCAGCGGCAGCAGCCAGAGAGGCAAAGCCCATCCCTAGGGATGCAGGTGGCCCTGTCCCCAGGGATGGGGGATGCCCAAGTCTGATGGGAAGAGCAGCCCTGTGACCGTCCCTAGAGCAGCACAGCTCCTCCAGACAAGCAGGCAAGGTCACTCTCCACTGTGGTCCCCACCTCGAGCTGTCCCTTGGGTCGTCCAGACAGGGATGTCACCGGGATCTTTGGCAGTGCCACCCCAGGGGCTGAGACAAGGCCACCCCTTGTCACCCAGCTCGGCTGGCCTTTCCCCAGGGACCTGTCAAGCTTTGAAGTTTGTCCATTGGGTATTGGATAAAACCCATCACCATCAGTGTCCCATTGCAGGGAGATTTATCCTGATCCTGCAGGGGGGAGTGGCAGGTTTTCCAGAGGGAGAAACCCAGCAGGGACCATCGAGGCTCTGCCAGAGCTCACCAGGGCCAGCAAAGCCAGGGCAGGCCATAGAATCACAGAGTATCACAGGGTATGAGCAAGGAGGAGGAATGGATCGTGCCTCCTCCTGATGAGGGTCGGGAGTGCTCAGTGCAGCACACAGAGCTGATCCTGCCTGCTCCAGGTTTCCATCCCCTGGGGCGAAGGAGGCACCAAAACTCACCCCTGAGGATGGGAAACCAACCCACAAACCCTCGGTGCGAGGAGCTGAGCTGGGCTGGGGCGGGGGCAGAGGGGCTGGGGCTGAGCCACAGCTCCAGCAGCACCACAGCCATCCCAAGCCTCACCACAACCGCTCCAACGGGTTCGCTCCAGAATCCTGGCACGCGGCCACCACTGGGGTGGAGCCCGGCCCCTGTTATTAAAATGTGTGACAGCAGCTCAAGATGGAAAGTGAAGTTGTACATTCTCCATCTGAAACTCCGGGAGGAATTTCAAGCAGGGGAATGCAATTTCCAGCCTGGAGCAGAGCCAGCAGCGCCAGGGCGAGATTTTTCTTAATATGGCTTTGCAAAACTCGAGCGCAGAAAATTGCCCGTAGCTGCGGCGATGCCGGGGAGCAGGAGACGGCCCCGGGCCGGGAGGAGGAGAGGGCTTTGTGCAACAAAAACACCCACCAGCCCCAGCAAGCTGCTGTCCCTGTCACAGCCAGGACCTTTGGGCACCTCAGCTCCCTGGTCTGCGCTGGCATTGGGGGCTGAGCCACGTGGAGGCTGCGTGGGCCAGGACAAAGCACTCTGCTGGCCCGGGAAGGGAGCAGCATCCCTGGAGAGAGGGGTTTTGGCAGTGTGACCTTGCTCCCTCCATCATCAGCCTGGGAGGGATATGGGTTCACCAGTTCCTGGTTATTCTCCTGGTGGCACTTTGGGACAGTGACCTCCTGGATCACAGGCACCCCCACCCACCCTCTGCCCGGGGAGCACGGCCACAGCTGGCTCTCAGCCAGCTGGAACCACAAAAGGAGCCTCCCCCCCATTTCTGCTTTTGATTTAAATAATCCCAATAAGGGGATAAAGCAGCCAAAACCCACTGATTTGTTGGTTTTTTTTTTTTTAACAAAGCTTCAATTTAAAAAATAGTACACGTGAAATGTGTGATTTTTATTAGGGCAGGCAGAGCCATGGGGCATCAGACAGAGCCCTTCACTGAGCAAACCCCATCCCCAGGACTCCAACATCCTCTGTGCAGCTTCCCAGCCCTGCCCTGACCCCAATTCCCCCCTCATTTCCCATGCTTACACAAACTGGGGGCAGTTATTCCCTTCCTGGTGCCCTCCTGGGTGGAGGTGCAGGAGTGACACCAGTTTCACATCATCCTGGGAGGGACAAAGTGACGGGGATGGGAGAAGGCACAAAAGTGCTTTTTTCTGTGTTTCATTTGCTGTTACCCAGTGACTGCTCACACAGGTCTGTGGAAGCAGAGGAATTTCCTTATCCTGGTGGGATGTATGGAGCAGCAAGGGCATTTCCAGCAGAGGAAGTCCCCTTTGGAAGGAGCCAGGGGATACCACACACTGGGAGGGTGGAACAACACTGTGTGCAGTGGGTGATGGATGCA